TGCAAAAACAATGCAACATTACAAAACAAATGCATTGTCAAAACTGCTCATTTTGTTAATAGTACAACATTAGCATGGGCTAATTTTAGTGTAAAATAAGTGCAGTCAAAACATTGACTGTGGAACTTACTACTAAGAATGTAACAATAACAAATATATATTCAGAAGTAATGCATACATTGTCAGCACTTAGAACATAAGACAAGGCTATAAGTTAAATTCCTGTCAGATTGATGCAAATTACATTACTTACATAGCATATTGCTTTTCCAGTGTTGCATATGCTATTGGCAAGTATCTGCTCGAGGGTACTTGCATGACGCAATCTAATTGGCTTACACCTGTTTGACAATTTAAAGTTCTCTCAAAGTTCATGTTAATCGTTAGCTGCATTTGCACTGTTGCACCTAAAGCGAGCGTAGGTGCGTACTGCACATGCACCAAAATAAATAAATTAGGGAAAGAAAAACAAATAGCTGGCCAGTTTAAGATAGGCTATTCCATAAAACACAACTTATAGGCTAGGGGTCTTTTTGCTTAAGATTGCCCTTATGTTTCCCTTTTAAATGTAAGGGTGTTGCATAAAATAATAAAGTAGTTTCAATTTAATGATTAATAAATTGTATTAATATTTAATATAATATTTCTTTGCTGCATCCTCCTTAATGTTTCAGAAATGCATAATAATCTTTACACCATATTAAAGATACAGCAGCCAGTAACAGTTGTTGAGAGTTTTTGTTAAGTTTAAAAGGTGTGTTTGTGTGTGTGTGTGTGTGTGTGTGTGTGTGTGTGTGTGTGTGTGTGTGTGTGTGTGTGTGTGTGTGTGTGTGTGTGTGTGTGATACAAAATATGAATACAACAGAAAGACATAAAACTTTACAAATTATGCATCCACTTTTGTAGGCTCAATGCAACAGTGTCATTTCTAGATAAAATAGCCTAAGCCAGCGGTTTGAGGGAAAATTGTTATCTTTTATCATTTTATGCATTTTTTGGGGGTTAAACTTCACATGTCATATTTCTGAGAGAAAAGAAATTCACTGAGAGAGAAACAAAAAAAAATCACATTACAAACTGTAATGTAAAACCTGTGCATATAGTCATCTCGCTGTTCCATGTCTGTCACAATAGCCCCGTCCTTTCACATTAGGCGCTAAGTGATAGTACATTTGTAGTTTTTTTTATTCGCTTACTATAGTCATCAACATGGACACCTAGTTAAAACTGGAACTTTAAAGAAGTCAAGTGACAGTAGGAATAAACCATCTACATCAGCCTCTTTTATGGAGACGTGCTGTCACATCCATCAGTGACCACCTGAGCTGTAGTGCATCAGGACTCAGTTAGCTTTACAGCGTCCCAGAAAAATTACATTCTCATACATACCACGCGCATACACCGGAACACCTACACTGACCTGTCATCTCATCTGTTCTGTGTTACCGTTGATTATCTGGACTAAATATTCTACCATTCCAACTTTGTTTGTCATTGCGTCGTTTGTCTTTCTGGTCTTCCATGTCTCGCTTGTTCCTAGTTCCAAAGTAAGTCTTGTATTCATAGTTCGTTGTTCCGGATCGTGTTTTTGTAATTTTGCCTAAGTCTAGTTTGTAGTGTTATTGTTTCTGAGCCTTGTCACTGTTTTAGTTTCTGGTTTTGTCGTTTGTTTGTTACTTTGTATTTTGATCACCTCGTTGTTTCACTGTAAATAAATATCTGCACTTGGATCCGCACCTTTTTGTTTTTGTTCCTGTTTTGTTCACGCTAAACGTGACACGTGCAGCAGCCTTGAATATATGGCAGGGCTCGACAATATAAGGCGCTCGGCGTGCGTTTAATACGACAGTGAAAGCATGCTGAAATATTACAGAGAGCTGTTTATTGGAAAAATTGACCAAAGTTACCATCTGTATGTCAGGCTCTGTATGAGAGAGTCAGAGCTGCATTTATTATATCATAATACAGTACATATTGTAACATTGTGAAATATTATTGCATTATAAAATAACTGTTGAAAAGTAGTTTATCATTTAATCATTTATTCCAGTAATTTTAAAGATGATTTTTCAGCTTCATTACTCCACTCGTCACATGATCCTTCAGAAATCAGTCTAAATGTTAGTTATTGTTGTTGTAAGGCGAGGCAGTGGCACAGTAGGTAGTGCTGTCGCCTCATGGCAAAATGGTCGCTGGGTCGCTGGTTCTAACCTCGGCTCAGTTGCCGTTTCTGTGTAGAGTTTGCATGTTCTCCCTGCCTTCGCGTGGGTTTCCCCCACGGTCCAAAGACATGCCATACAGGTGAATTGGGTAGGCTAAATTGTCCGTAGTGTATGAGTGTGTGTGTGAATGTGTGTGTGTGTGTGTGTGGATGTTTCCCAGGGATGGGTTGTGGCTGGAAGGGCATCCGCTGCGTAAAAACGTTGGTGGTTCATTCCGCTGTGGCAACCTCAGATTAATAAAGGGACTAAACCGACAAGAAAATGAATGAATGAATTGTTGTTGTTGATATTATTATTAAGGGTAATAGTAATAAAAAGCAATAATTTTATGAAACTACTTTTTTTAATGAAACTACATACAATAAGAAAGCAGTTATTTAACATTTTAATAAATATTTAACAATTCTTTGTTTTTTTTGTTTTTTACATTTACTAAATGTCGCCTTGAACTGAATAATTTTGCTTAAAAAAAGATATCGAAAAAAATTAATAAAACAGACCCCAAACTTTTGACCGGTAGAGAATATATATATATATATATATATATATATATATATATATATATATATAATTATTATTTATTTTTTTTTACTCTACCGGTCAAAAGTTTGGGGTCTGTTTTATCTGTTTAACACTCACACACACACACACACACACACACACACACACACACTATCAAACTTAGTTCATCACAATTGCTAATGTTATGCTAAATAAAACGGGTATTACAATTATGTTTGGCTTTTGACACATTATGTACAGTACTGTATGTGGCAAAAAATAGCTATTAACTTTTTTTGGTGGGGCGAGTGAAAATTTTAGCAGGGCAAGTAAAAATCTGAACCACTGGGAAGATCGGGCCAGTAGAAAAAAATCCTTAGCATTGAACCTTGTGGATAACGAACTAGGTGAAGAGGGGCAGGCAGGAACAGAAATCCAGCAGAGATGTACTGATGAAAAGAATTAGGCCTACGCTAGAGAGTAAGAAAATTTCAAGTAAGAAACACAAATATAGTGACAGTTACATTGGTTACATGGATTGGAGATGCAGAAAATTAAAATTTGTAGTGTGTAGTCGTTTTGAAAGGGGTGCTTGACAGGTGTCAAATATTAAAAAGGGGTGCACACTACAAAAAGTTTGAGAACCACTGGCCTGTGCTATATTAAAATTATTTAAAGAATTATACATTTCAGATATAATAAAATCACATTAAATAATGTTTCCTTCTGTTTTGTCCTTCTTTATTCATGTTACTCCTCATCACTTAAGCTTTTCCCAGTTTCCTTAGTTAATCCACAGTAACGCTGCGCTTTTCTCCCCAGACTTCAATTCATACACAAGCGAATGCAGACTGGAAATGCAAGCTCGTGTGTTCAATAATCTCTCAGTACAGAAATTTAAAATATGGAGCAATCGCTAGTTTTTTTTTACTGTCCAATCATTGTGTTGAATGTCTCTTTTTGAGGCACTGTATGAAAGAATTTTGCTTGCTTATTCTAGTGATACTGGCTTTACTATTGTTAATGGCCTTAGTTGTTAATTACTCATTATCTCTTTGTCTCATTCCTATATATGTCTTCTTGTTTTAGCCTTTGTGGTCAGTTTTTTTTAGTTGCCTCTAAAATGTCTGCATGCTCGTTTTTTGTTATTCTCTGTGGTTTTGAAGTGTGTAAATAAACCCGCATGTGAAGGAAGGAGCAGAAGCACCACCACCACCACAATGAGACACTTACCTGTCTACTTACTGGGCACATTCTCTTGCTCTGGCTACTCCAGAAAACACCTCCAATGACCAGCACAGAGGGCTCCCTCTGGTATTCCTGCTTGACTGTCTTTTGCCAGTGTACTGGCACATGTAGCTCTCAACAGCATTCTAGCATGCACAGCTCCTGCCAAATTCACCTGTGTTCCCCAAATGGCCAGAGCCGCCACCTGATTCCCACAAATGGCTACTAGAGCCATGCGATCTTCCAGTGCCGCAAAATCCATTTAAACTTCCAGTGCCACCAGAGTCATGGAACCTAGTTGACCCAATGCACACCTGTATAGTTAATGTAATGTAATGTGATGATAAATTGTATTAATCTGTTACAATTGTGTAGGTGCAGTTAAAATTGAGACTGGCAAAAAAAAAAAAAAAAAAGTAAAAATAGGTCCCTTTTTGAAGCTTTGGTTAAAAAAAAACACAAGGTGACTAAATTTGCATGTTATTTAGATAGCTGAAGCTATTCAATTATTTTTAGCCTCCCCTTAGCACCCCTAAGAAAAAACTAAATCCTGGAGCTGCCAGTGCTCTTTGTACTGCACAGGTAACGGCAGGCTTAACATCAAACAATTCATAAATTGACTTTATTTCAGAGTAGTAGTTCACTGATATGTGACTAATAGACTAATATTAAGAATCGAGATTGAAGAGCATTTTGCAAGGGTATCCAACCAACAGCGAAAACACAACTTACAAACCTCATAGTTATCGCAACTCCATTAATGTGCAAAAATATCAAGCAATAACAGTATGCCTCATGTGTTAATCACCATTCAAACTTGAACAGCATCATTTAAAGCCAATACAAATGCATTCTATCTTGCTCCACAATTAACTTAATTTAAATAGTCACGAACAGGCTAAACTAACCCCTGACATCCTCACAATATTTAAACAGATCTACATGACGTACTTTAAGATGGAAATGGCAATGAGAAATTGCTATGTACTCTCATACAGGAATTTAATCTCTCTCTCTTTCTCTCTCTCTCTCTTTCTCTCTCTCTCTCAGCCTGAATAAGGGTTTTCCATTCATTGGGCAGGTGGGTGTGGAATCAAAAGTCATCCCAGGTTTGGATAAAGGAGTTCAGGGCATGTGTGTTAATGAGCGAAGGAAGATCACTGTACCTCCTCACCTTGCTTATGGAGTCTTGGGATCTGGTAACCCTTTTTTTATTTATTTTTTTAACAACTACATATTCTGTTATATATATTTAAATTATTATTAAATTAAATTTCAATGTGTTCACTGTATTGCTGGTTTGGATTTGTTACATGACAAAAACATGATGTTGTCATGACAAAGTAAGAATATGTGTATGAATCAAAAATAAGAACATTTGATCTACATGAATGTTTAATATTTTTGAAAGTTCATAAAACCCAACCTTCAACTTCCCACTGTTTAATGGCTTAATTACTTGTTTGCGCTGTCACATTTGTCATTTTCATTCATTCATTTTCTTTTCGGATTAGTCCCTTTATTAATATGGGGTCACCACAGCGAAATGAACCGCCAACTTGTCCAGCATATGTTTTATGCAGCGGATGCCTTTCCAGCCGCAACCCATCACTGGGAAACATCCACACAATTATTCACACACACTCATACACTACAGTCAATTTTAGCATACCCAATTCACCTTTACCACATGTCTTTGGACTGTGGGCGAAACCGGAGCATGTGGAGGAAACCCACGAAAACACAGGGAGAATATGTAAACTCCATACAGAATTGCCAACTTACCCAGCCGAGGCTTGAACCAGCGACCTTCTTGCTGTGAGGTGAATGTACTATCTACTGCATCGCCCACATTTGTCATTTTAATTATTAAAAACAAATCCAACAATGGGTTCCTTATAATAACTACTGTAAATCTGGTATCATGGAGGAGAAGACTGTGCTACATTCAGCCTGCATCTTGAAGTCCCTCTCAGCCATTGGGCCAACCTTTTTTTCCAAGAGCAACATTCTCATGAACACCAGCCCATTAAGCATCAGGCCACAATGCACTAGCCTCTGTAGGACTGAATGTAGTATTTGGTCATGTGTCCCTTGCGTAGGAACATGCATGATAATATTATATGATATATTCTCCACTGGGCAGCATGGTGGCACAGTGGGTTGCACAATTGCCTCACAGCAAGAAGGTCGCTGGTTCGAGCCCCTGCTGGACCAGTTGACATTTCTTTGTGGAGTTTGCATGTTCACCAGGTTTCCTTCGGGTGCTCCGGTTTCCCCCACAGTCCAAAGACATTCGCTATCCGCTTGTTAAGTGGTGACGTGTTTGTGACGTATGTAATACTGTTTCCGCCACTCATTTGAGTGGAGAAATCATTCGTTTATGATCACATTTTATTCCTATCACACATTAAAGTTAATTTTATATAAAATCATAGTGTACACAACAATCTCTGGGCTTGCTGCTTAACAAATACCAAAAATGTAACAATTTATAAACAAATAATCACTTTCTGGCCATCGGATATTAGGTGTAGCGTACAGTCCACAGATAAAATTTCTTATTGATTTCATCACGGTCCGACAGAACGGTTTTACGACTCCTGGCTCCAAGAAGTCTGGATTTTCGTGACAGCTTAAGTTGTTCAGGGGGCCTGGATAGATAAGCAGGAAAACTTTAAAGACATTCCTGCCCAAATACACTCACACACACACATACACCCCCACGAGGCTGTTCCGACAGAAAGAAAATGAACTCATCAAATCCAGAACCAGCACAAAACCAATGTGTTATGTTTTGTAAACTTTGTGTCTCATTTCTGACTTTTCTTACCTGTGTAACCTCTCTTATAACCTGTATGCATGTTCCATTTAGGCCTTTGTAAAGCATAAATATTGTAAGGATATGAAAAATTATGTTGATGTACTTTCAACCCCCCCCCCCATGTTTGGTACCGATGGGTTTCTGCTGACATTTTACAACACATGATGCAAAGATCGAGACCATAACTCGCATTGCTTTATTCTTTAAAGCCCTGTATTAAATGCCTGTCCGCATGCTTTAGGCGGACGCTCAAATTTGCATACGGGCAGCCCAGAGACAAAGGAAGGTTCGCGCGCAAACTTTCCCCTGAAATCATTGGTCAGAATGCTGTACGGGTTGTCACGTGACCCGCAGGTATAAGCACACTTCCCCCCAAACATCTGGGCAGAAAGAGAACGTCCCAAAAAGGAACATCATTGACGGTGGTCCCTTAAAGGGCCACACGGCTCTTCATAGCCGCATGGACTTTTTCCCGCCACGCTTTCTTTATTTTCCGGCAAAGTAAATTCAGTTTAAAGTTTGCGATCGTGTTCGTCCGAACTGCATTACGAACTCCACGCATCAAAGGACATCAAGAGTAGTTTTCATCACGACGGAAGAGAGACGCATAAAAGAGACCTCCAGACATGAAAAACCAGGTGATTTTAGTTATGCGATTAAGCTGTGCCCCTTTTATCAAAAAGGTGTTTTTTATAACCTTGGTGGTCCTTAATGGTGCGTGTGGAACTGAAAGTTTTGTCACTCTTTTACCTGAAATCTATAATTCCTAGCTTTACTATGTCTCTTTGCTGTTACACGTTCTATAGACCCGATATCTCCACGTGGTTTACCTTTGTTTTGTGTTTAATGTATGTTTGTGCGTTTGTTTGTTTGTTCGTTACGTCTGACTAGTCAATAAATTCCATTATAATCAAATGAATTGTATTGTTTGCCTCATGAGAAAATGTCACTGAAATACAGATTCCCCTGCCTTGCTATTATAAGTTGTTTAAAACTTTTGAATGATTAATCTACTTCACAAGAAGTAGCAATTAAATTCCCTTTTTCTAAATGAATAGATTATCGTGTCCGCTCGGAAGAGCGGGGGCTCTGCTTGTGTTTGTTTGGTCAAATTAACAATAAATTGATTCGGAATATTAATGATTAACAATAATTCGTTATTGTTGATAATTAATATTCATAATCTGGGAATCCGCTCGGTCGCGCGAGCATGATCATTTACAATCATATGTTGGTTTGACCAAGCTGACTGAAGCTTAAGCCGGAATATTAATAATTAAGAATAAACCGTTATTGTTGATTATTAATATTCATAAAATGAGCTAATTTCATGTTACATATATTGGTGGAGAATGCGGGCAGTTTTTCAAACATTTTCTTTGAAACAAACTTTCCAATTCATTGTGATTTATTAAGCGCGATATAGAAGAAAAAAAAAGGACCGCGAGAAGCATTTCCTTTCTTCAAAACTGGGAGGACTTAACGCCTCCTCCAGCCATTCTGTTCACTAAACACAGCAGAGAGCTGCCCGTGTAGAGTGTAAAAAATTTAACTGCAGTTCATATATATTTTAAATCGATTTTGCTGAGACGCACGTTCCGCAAATCATTTAAATATATTAGTGTGCCTGTCGGAGGAAAAGACACCTCTCTCAGCGCTTGTAAGACAGTTTGGAAACCCCAAACCTGTCCGTTTAAAAGGCCTTCTTTTAGCTAGAAAACCTCTAGCCTATTTCTCCCGTGGTTTCAAACTGTTAGATTAGCTGCCTAACGTTTAACCTCTTTGCTTCGCCGCCGTGCGAAATTAATTTCAGAACTGCTGGACAGTTCTAAATTAATGTATTTGGGAGCTGCAAGCTTGCCTGTTAACCGCTTTCTGACGAAAGGAATTCTCAGAACCATAAGCGTGTTTTTAAATGGTACCAAAATCTGATATGGATGTGAATTCCCATATTTCAGTTATGTTCGTCCGGACCAAATCTGTGTACAAACGTGCACCGCCTCGAGAGACGTCTCGCATTTTATGTTTGTTTGTCTAATTGTAATGGTCGAATATTATTATCAATGTTAAGGCAACATGATATATAATGACCGTTTATGCGAATCTTAGTGGTTCGCGCTTTGCCTTTGTGAAGTCAGCCGCATACCAAGTTATGAATGAGAACTCATTGATAAAAACGACCCTTCGAGCGCTCATTGACTCCTCGTCCACGTAACTCGTGCGCGCGCGCACGCATGCATGAATGACGTAGTCACCACCCCAAAGCATAAGATCCGCCTTCAGGGGGCAGAGTGTGTGACGCGGCTTACATCACAGGGCAAAACAACTCGCTAGCTTCTAACGACTAGCCTTAAGTAAACTAACCCTTCGCGTCTTAATATTACCAAACTGTTAGCACAAGGCTAACCGGATGCGAAGCGTAACTCGTAACAACTTGCTAGCGGCTAACGCCAGCTAATGCTTAAGCAAACCAACCCTTCACATTTTGTAACATTAACAAACGTTAGCACAAGGCTAACTGAATGTGAAGTGCAACTCGGAAACATCTCCCCCTGTCTCCCTCTGCTCTTCTCACATCAGTTCCGCCCACCATTGTGTCTCAAGTGGTCTGAAATGGTCAAACAGTTTGGAGTTAATTTGTTTTAATTTCGATTAAGCATTTTATTTTCCCTGTTATCATTTTATCCAAACAATAGTTTAGTTACCTAAGTATAGATTATTGGTCTGTTTTTATTTCTTTTGGTATTATGAATTATTTTGTTACTTTCAATTTTTTTTAATTAATTTTCTGCCTTCTGTCTTTTTCATTTTAACACCGTTGTCCAGTTTATTTGTTATTACTTGATTTTTAATCAAGTTCCCAATAATCTATTCTAAACTTAGGTCATGTTTAATTTTAATTTTGTTGGTTTTGCTATTTGGGGAATAGCCTTTAATCTCTATTATTATCATTAATAGGCATAATTTTTCTTCCCTTTTGATTTTTTTTTTTTTACTCCATCTTTTCCTCATGTCTTATTTATTCCCTCACCTCTTAGGTTATAGGGAAAGTATTACTATATAAGGGCAAGTATTAGTCTGAAGCTAAATTTAGAGCTATCAATCTATAGATCCCACATCTGATCAAAACATGTTGGGCTAACCCATTAATGTTTGTAGATACCCCTGAATACTAAGGCACTCTTTCTACTTTTTCTAAGCCGTCCTGTACTGCTTTTAACTATAGGGGATTATTATGATTATTCTTTTAAATTCTTTTATGCCGATTTAATTTTCCTTTAGTCTCCCTCCATCACAGGGTGATAACCTCCTCTATCCATCAGATACTACAGCATACTAAGATTCCTACTCCAACTGGCTCGCCCAGAATAGTAG